TTCCTGGACGCCTCCTCTGCTCCAGGATAAGCTATTGACGTACAGGTCATTAGCCTAGGCTAGTCTAGGCTATTCATCATGACCTCGTCTTACACAATTAGTGTCAGAACGTACAGGAATGCAGGGGTCACAGCCAATGGGGGATGGACGCGTGGCATATGATGTCACATCAAAGACAGAAAAACCGCATGCCGTTGCTGACACGCGACTTGGGAAAACAAACGATTAATTACACCATTCCCTTGACGAGACTGCATTCAATGCGGTAAGGCTCGGAAATGAAAGGCAATAAATGTTCCTAATACAGAACATTTATTACATCCTCCCCGAGAGGAGTTCATTGTACCGTCGGCATCCCGATGACGCAGCATTGATTGCTCGGGACCCCGAGCAGTTAAGAAGAGAAGACATTCCTCATCAGAATCAGTGCGCACACTGCCTGTACCTAATGATCACCTACTGACTACACTGACAGCAATCATGAGCTTTTGAGGTATAAATACTCCTTGCAAAAGGCAAGACGGTATGCAACAAAAACTCTTTACTACAATACACACTCGGTGTTTTCTTCTTTCTTTCTCTCTCTCAAAGACTGACTAGATCGTCAGAGGGGATACGCCGGAAAACACTCCGGCGCCCTTCTAACTTGTTCTTCTTTATTCCAGGAACCTTTCTTCAGCCTTACTGGATCGTTCTTCCGCTCCCCCAGGGTCTCCCGCTGCCGTTTCAGGTTATCACCGGACCTCGCAAGCTGTTCCAAGCAGCGTGGTTGGTCACTCAACTGACTCACTCGAGTTCACCAAGGGAGAGATCTGTTCTCGTTTTTATATTGTGCAGGATCGTGCACGCACAATAGATAATGATTAAAATTTTATTTTGATGTATTATGTTGGCAAGAAAATATTTCAGAAGCAAAATTAAAATTAATAATTATTTTTAAAATATTAGTTCAAATATACCAAAATATCTTAAAATACCTCAAAATGTTTCAAAGACATTGATGAAAAGTTATCAAAACACCTCGAAATAATGTTGTTCACCTTAAAACATTGAAATTTCACTTCAATTATAATTTTTGTTTCGATTTATATGACATATATTTAATAGTTTAATTGAATGAATATAAATGGGGTGAACTTAGTAATTCATTAGGTGAAGATAAATACAGTGAACTTATAGTTTAAAGTAAATAATTAAATTGGGTGCAAAAAGAGATTTAAGCGGTGTGAGTAGCCCCACCCAACAGAAAATAGTTAATGCATACTAGCCCTTTATTAGGGGTGGATCCAAATATTTATAGTACTGAGGGGAAATTTAGACCATAATAGTATCACCAGTACTGAATTTAGTGAACTAATTTAGAGACTTAATAAATTGCTACTATTTGATTAACAAATGGATTACATTCAATGTTGAAGCTTAACGCTAATTCAATTAGGACAATACATGGGATTTTCAAACTAAATCACCAAATTAAGTCCAAAAGCATTGCCTTTTAGAGAAATTGAAATGTTTGAAAATCAATAAATAAACAAACAATGCACGTGTTCTTAGTACTATGGAAATGGTCAAATGTACACAATCTTATCCTACATATGAGAGAATGTGTTCATGACTTGAATCATCGGAATCTAGGTTATAGAGTAACAATCTTACTTTAAAATTGATCTCAACTAGTTTTTATGATAAAAATATTATATTATTACATCCAAATTAACAATAGTGATAGAAACAGGGCAATATATAAAGAACAAAGAGTGCCAGAAATAATTTCTTCTACATATGTTGTGGGATTCTATTACCTAAATAATATTTACTTAATACAGTTTAAATAGGTTGAAGTGTATGAGAATTTTTTTTTTTTTGTGGGGACAAATTTAAAGTATATTAAAGCTTATATAAAAAAAAATCATAAAAATAAAAGTTTAGTGACAGCAATTGCCCCTAGATAGGGTTGTGTGGCTCTGCTCATGTCCTTTTTTCGGATCTAAATACGAGAGGTGCTTCTAGACTGGTAAAATTCAAGACGATCCGATTATCCGACACAAAAAATAGTGGGTTTAAATTTGATCTTAACTGGTTCAGTAGTCAATGAGTGAACTGTCCAACCTGCATAATAAACGAGTTGTGTTCGGGTTGAGTATTTTAACATGTTCTCACTCTATTACTCCTTGAATAAATTGGTATATCACTTGATTATCCGTTTATCATCCGATTATCCAATTACTTGTTTAATAGATGACTCAATTTGTAATAAAATTAGGCCTTTTAATTAGAATTTTTTAGTGTTTTAGAATTAACAAGTAAAATGGGTCATGTTGTGTTGCTCGTTTAATAAACAAATAATGTTCAAATTTGCAATTTGCTTCCGTTTATAAATGAGTCGTACACAAGTTGAGTGATTTTTATTACAAATCTAGTAAGACTTAACATGAATCGACACCATCCAATGCAATTGCGGGCTTTCTCAATTATTTTAGAGTAATGTTACATAAACTTAAGACATTTATTTAAAAAATAGACTTGATAATTATAACCATTGATTTTAATGTGGGTCCTAGTATTTATTGAAATTTATTACCTATTCAATGATTGTAGTTATTAAATTTATTTTTTAAGTTCATGTAACATTACTCATCATGTTATGTATTTAATGTATTGTGTGGAGTGTGTTATGTATTTTTTTGGTAAGGAATCTTTTGTCTCGGCCCCGAAACATTAAAAACATTTTTGTCTACTCAAAAACTTCTAAGAACAAATTATACTTTTACTCTTAATTAAAAATAGCAATTTACCAAATAGAAATCAAATAAAAATTTCAAGGGCATTAATTTTAATTTACTGAACTTTTAAAATAAATTTGCCAACGATTAAGCAATTTATGTGTAATTTTCTCACGAGTTTTTTTATTCAGGAAAACAATTTATTTGTCAAATGCAACATTATTGTGCGCAAATATGAAACGGTAAATCAATGGACAAAATCATGCCCATAAAAGAGCTACAAGTAGATCATGCATAAAAAAAAAATAATTTCGAAAGGTAAAAAAAATAAAAAAAAATGCTCATTCATAAATTCTCCTTCTATAAGCACAATGTTATTCCTGCTTACATATTATATTGCGTTTCTTGAAACTTAGGAAAAGCACTCAACTAACAAAAGTACATGAACAATGAAATTACACACAGTAACTAACGTTATGATATCTTACAAAGACATTGGTAGTTCAACCCGCAAAGGGTGTCAACTACTTTATTTTGGGGGTTGGGGGGAGAGAGAGCTAATAGGAGTCATCCCATCCCACTAGAGTATAATTGGAGTTCAATATGAAATCTAATTTCCTTGCAAAATCTGTTCAAATAAGAGAAAAATAAAAAATTTATTTTGAAAAAAAGACTCTTATGTTGATACTTTCTTGAATTAGAATTGAGAGAGGATGAGAGGAAGGGGATCCAAAAACTCGAATGGATCGGGTCACCCAATTTATCGCGTCATTCCTCCTTGAACAGCCGGTGCCATTTCCACTCCACCATTTTGTCTCTCCATGTTTCCTTCCCATCCTAAACAATTTTACATGAACAAACAAAATCTAATAAATAAAAAGTCAAAGTATGCATGTAGGGTTCGCTTTAAATAAATTAAACTTAAACCCTTTGAATTATGCCTTTCATTTGGCATCATCCCTTAAACTATTTGTTTCCTCACATTATAGTTTAAATTATTATTTTAAGTTTTGCATTTTGCAATCGTAATTTTTTTTTTCTATTTTTTCATGATAAATCAAGGGAAACACGAAGTTCTACGTAACTGAGTGATTTATCACATCTCTTTAAGCACTATAGAATTTTAAATTTCCTCTGATTTGCTGAAAAATGGAACAGGTTAACGATTGGGCCAGTGTGAAATTCAAACTAATAGCTTAAGGTGAAATATGAAATAATTTGTGGTGAAGAGAAAAATGCAAAATAAAGGATACAATTAAGAGGGTCTAAGTGTTATTTGTTCATATGCATACAAAAACAAGTGGATGTAGCACGGTGGGAGAGAGAGAGAGAGATTTGACGGCAAAGAGCAATCAGACCTGCGAAAGTCACATTTTTTACTACTATACACGGGTCTAAGAGAATTCTTTAATTAACCAACGCTGCAAAATCCTTCATTTCTACCATTTACAATGGGAGGGGGGGGGAGAGAGAGAGAGATGTTTACCAAGGGACATGTCAAAGCCACGGTTTTGGAGCTCACGGTACTCTTGACACATAGCACAGGGCTCGCAACAGCAATGAACAAGACAATCTCCACAAGGGCTTTTAGGCAACATGTACTGCTTCCTCATCTTGGAACGGTAGATGCAAGAGTACAAGCATCCACAGCAAGTGATATATTGCAATAGTGCGTATAAAACCCCACTCACAACACAAGCTACAACACAATATCATTGACATTAATAATTTTTTTTTTATCGAAAACAAAGTCTTCAAATTCAAACATAGTGCATAATAATCTCTCATGCTTACGAGGTGATCCTTTGTCAACAATCTCTGCGATTTGTCCGAAAGTAATACATGGACAGCAACATGTTATGCAACCTGTAAAAATGAAATTAAAGATGCATATTAGAAATAAAGGTATCGTTATTAAATTTTTTAGTTATTTTGTTTAATGTTTTTCTTATATTTTTTTTAACCAAATTACTTCGTTTTCTTAGAAAATTACTTTAAAAAAAGTTACAAAATGGCATATAGGCTTTTAAATGCAGCAGAGCATAGTTATGCTACGACCATAGTAAAGATCATCTGACAATATCAACTCACAGTTCGAGCAATTGGAGGAGCAGTCACATAAGCCGGTCGACCACTCGGCTGGAGTACTGGGTTGATTCTGAGGAGGGGCTTGGAAGTTGTTAATATGGTTGTAGTTCGGGGAGTTCACCGGAAAGCCAGTGACTGGTTCGCCATACGATGGTGTTGGTGGTGCTGATGGTGTTGGAGACTTTGTGGCCGTGCCTGTGTAGTACTCCATAATTCAACAATAAGTGTTTCCAATAGACGAAAGAAGATACTAATGATCAGAGAGAGTTTAGAATTAGAAAGGAGGGAGGGTTTTTGAATTGGTGATTTACATATGATATACCTTAAAATATATACACAAAAAATCAGAAGTGAATAAGAACGAGTCAATGTTTAATAAGTTAATAGCCCACCACCATTAAGAAAACTCTACCACTTTGAAACTTCAAACAACGCGTAATGACGGTGTTTGTTTGTCATTTTCTGAGCAACGTCTGAGACTTTTCTACCACTTCATCGCCTCACAGTCTGTAACAGGGATAGACACGCAAAAAATATTTCTTTTGTTAGGTGACAAAAAACAAAAAAAAATCCGTGAATTTTGTCAATATTATATGGGAATCCTTGATATTTTAAAAATAATACGGAACTTTTTACATTTGAAAGTTGTAATAGTCGGAACACTTCAATTGGTGGAAGTTAGTAAAATTATGTTTTGTTTTGTTTTGTTTGGTTCGATGAAAAAATAGAATGATGAAAAATTAGAAGAATATAAAGTTGGAATGATAAATAAAATAATATATTTAGTAAGAAAAAAAATAAAAAAGATGGAAAAGTAGATAGATTAATTTTTTTTTTAGAAAGAATTTTATCTAGACCTCCTGAGGTTTGTCACTTAATCACTGAGACCTCCTGACATTTGAAATATTACATACGGATCCACTGAGGTTTGTATGCGCATAACACTTAGGCCCTGTTGTAGATATATCAGTTAGTAAATTAAACTTAGACCCCCATGAAGTTTATAGGTATATAATACTTAAACCCTTAAAATTTAAAATATTATATTTAGACAAAAAAATACTGAAATCAAAGATAAAATATTAAATATTTTAAATTTTACAACCAAAATTCATGTTCTATTGTATCATTTATTGAAATAAAATTAAAAATAAAAATTCAATTTAAAAATTATTATTTTTAAATTAAAAATTCAATATTTTAGAAATTTATTGTATCATAGCTCTCAAGTGAAATATTTTAAATTTTTTAGGTCTTCACACTCTCCCACCGTGTTGGTTTTATTTTATGTTGTGTCCTAATTTTTATTTTGTTGTTGTTTTCTTTAATTATAATTTAGTTAGGACTTAAACTATTAAATTAATACTCTTTGAAGGTTTGTTTTATATGTGTTGGGGAAGATTTAATAATTTCACTTGGAAAAAATATTTTTGTAATTAGAATATTATATCTACATTAAATAGAATTTTTTTTTGTATTTTTTATAAATTTTTGAAACTATAAATTTGATGTATTCACATTCATATGATATTTGTATTTAGTAGTTTTGGGATCTAATGTATATATCATATTTACAATTTATACATACATATTGTTTGTTGTTTTTTTAATTTTAAACCACATACTAATACTTATTGCATGGCTCAATTTAGTCTTAAATGCTTATATTGAACATAGATAATAATAAATATTCTCGGTAGAACCCTTATAATCATATTTTACTATGTTTAATCTAGTGAGTAATGCATTTTGTTGATATAATGCATGAATATTAATTTTTTAGAATATTTTTTTAAAAAAAATTGGGCCTTCTATTTAACGTTTTGACTGAATCAACCAATCTTGCACTGCGATGATGTGACAAATATATCTTAACACCCTCCGAATTGATGATCAAGAGCAGAATTTTGAATTATACAACACGTAGATCATTGCAACCAACTTCTACATGCATTAAAAACATGTTAAGTTTACGAGTTAGATTTCAAGGTACCTTCTAACATTGCCCACCCTCACCCTTAAAAAACATTGATCGAAAAATCTCTGGTATTTCTTCACTTGTGTATCGGTGGTTCAAAACTTGTGTATTTAGTCACCCGTAGTTTTTTTTTGGAATTAAAGTTCTTGGCTAATGCCAAAGATTTCAATGCATCATTATTACAAGTAACCTCTTGATTACATTGACCGTTATGAGGCTTCAACAAAGGAGGATTACAAGTTTTTTGTTTCTAGATCATCATCTTAAATGTGAAGAATCATTCTACTTGGAGTTTAATTTGTAATAAAATTAGGCCTTAGTTAGAATTTTTTAGTGTTTTAGAATTAACAAGTAAAATGGGTCATGTTGTGCAGCTCGTTTAGTAAACAAATAATGTTCGAATTTGCAATTTGCATCCGTTTATCAATGAGTCGTACACAAGTTGAGTGACTTTTATTACGAATCTAGTAAGACTTAACATGAATCGACACAACCCAACACAATTGCAGGCTTTCTCAATCATTTTAGAGTAATGTTATATGAACTTAAGAAATTTATTTAAAAAATAGATTTGATAATTATAACCATTGATTTTAATATAAGTCCCAATATTTATTGAAACTTACTATCTATTCAATAGCTGTAGTTATTAAATTTTTTTTTTAAATTCATGTGGCATTACTCATCATGTTATGTATTTAATGTTTTGTGTGGAGCCTGTGTTAACAAGGTTTTTTTTTTTTGGTATTTTTTTCCCTAGTCGTTGGGTAAGGAATCTTATGTCTCGGCCCCGTAACATTAAAAACATTTTTGTTTACTCAAAAACTTCTAAGAACAAATTATACTTTTACTCTTAATTAAAAATAGCAATTTACCAAATATAAATCAAATAAAAATTTCAAGGGCATTAATTTTAATATACTGAACTTTTAAAATAAATTTGCCAACGATTAAGCAATTTATGTGTAATTTTCTCACGAGTTCTTTTATTTGGGAAAACAATTTATTTGTCAAATGCAACATTACTTTGCGCAAATATGAAACGGTAAATCAATGGACAAAATCATGCCCATAAAAGAGCTACAAGTAGATCATGCATCAAAAAAAAAAATTTCCAAATGTAAAAAAAATAAAAAAACATTATGATATCATACAAAGACACTGGCAGTTGAACCCGCCAAGGGGGTCAACTACTTTATTTTGGGTGTTGGGGGGAGAGGAGCTAATAGGAGTCATCCCATCCCACCAGAGTATAATTGAAGCTCAATATGAAATGTAATTTCATTGTAAAAACCGTTCGAATAAGAGAAAAATAAAGAGTTTATTTTGAAAAAAGACTCTGAAGTTGACACTTTCTTGAATTAGAACTGGGAGGGATGAGAGGAAGGGGATCCCAAAACTCGAATGGATCGGGTCACCCAATTTATCGCGTCATTCCTCCTTGAACAGCCGGTGCCATTTCCACTCCACGATTTTGTTTCTCCATGTTTCCTTTCCATCCTAAATAATTTTACATGAACAAACAAAATCTCATCAACAAAAAGTCAAAGTATGCATGTAGGGTTCACTTTAAATAAATTAAACTTAGATCCTTTAAATTATGCCTTTCATTTGGCACTATCCTTTAAACTATTCGCTTTCTCACATGATAGTTTAATTAGTTTAAATTTTGCATTTCCCAATCGTGAAATTTTTCTTATTTTTTCACGACAAATCAAGGTAAACATGGAGTTTTGCATAACTGGGGAATGTATCACTCTTTATGCAATATAGAATTACAAATTCCCTCTGATTTGCTGAAAAATGGAACAAGTTAACAATTGGGGCAGTGTGAAACTCAAACTTCTAGTTTAAGGTGAAATATGATATAATGTGTGGTTATGAGAAAAATGTGAAATAAAGGATACAATTAAGAGGGTCTAAGTGTAATTTGTTCATATGCATATAAAAACGAGTGGATGTAGCAAGGAGGGGGAGAAAGAGATTTGACGGCAAAGAGTAATCGGACCCGTGAAAGTCACATGTTTTACTATACACGGGTCTAAGAGGATTCTTTAATTAACCAACGCTGCAAAATCCTTCATTTCTAGCATTTTCAAGGGGAGGGGAGAGAGAGAGAGAGAGAGAGAGAGATGTTTACCAAGGGACATGTCAAAGCCACGGTTTTGGAGCTCACGGTACTCTTGATCCAAAGCACAGGGCTCGCAACAGCAATGAACAAGACAATCTCCACAAGGGCTTTCAGGCAACATGTACTGCTTCCTCATCTTGGAACGGTAGATGGCAGAGTACAAGCATGCACCACAGCAGGTGAGAGTTTGCAATAGTGCGTATAAAGCCCCACTCACAACACAAGCTACAACACAATATCATTGACATTAATATTGTTTTTTATCAAAAACAAAGTCTTCAAATTCAACATAGTTCATAATAATCTCTCATGCTTACGAGGTGATCCTTTGTCAACAATCTCTGCGATTTGTCCGAAAGTAATACATGGACAGCAACATGATAAGCAACCTGTAAGAATGAAATTAAATATGCATATTAGAAATAAAGGTATCGTTATTAAATTTTTTAGTAATTTTGTTTAATGTTTTTCTTAATTTTTTTTTTTACCAAATTATTTTGTTTTCTTAGAAAATTACTTTAAAAAAAGTTACAAAATGGCATATAGGCTTTTAAATGCAGCAGAGCATAGTTATGCTACGACCATAGTAAAGATCGTCTGAAACTTTCAACTCGCAGTTCGAGCAATTGGAGTAGCTGTCATATAAGCCGGTCGACCACTCGGCTGGAGTACTGGGTTGATTCTGAGGAGGGGCTTGGAAGTAGTTAATATGGTTGTGGTTCGGGGAGTTCACCGGAAAGACAGTGACTGGTTCGCCATTCGGTGGTGGTGGTGGTGGTGGTGCTGAAGTTGTTGGAAACTTTGTGGCTGTGCCTGTGTAGTCCTCCATAATTCAACAATAAATGTTTCCAATAGACGAAAGAAGATACTAATGATCACAGAGAGAGATGAGAATTAGGAAGGATGGAGGGTTTTTGGATTGGTGATTTACAGATGATACACCTTAAAATATATACACAAAAAATCAGAGGTGAATAAGAACGAGTCAATGTTCAATAATCGACCACCATTAAGAAAACTCTCTATCTCTTTGAAACTTCAAACAAGGCGGAAGGATGGTGTTTCTTTGTCATTTGTTTGAACAGGTAGGAATTGATAGTAGGTTTTCTGAGCAACGTCTGAGACACCTCAACCCAAATACTCTATGATTCCAACTAATTTTTCAAATTCTTATTTCTACCGTTGAAATACAAACTAAGCAAGAACAAGGCTGCTAGGTGTGACGAAGTTTCAACGACAATACAGACTTTTTCTAACACACCTCAACCCAACCCACAGATTTTGGTGGAAGAAGATACAGGCCACCATGAACAGATTTTTCTAAACTTCGAAAATTCAAGCAAGGCGGTGTATGTTTAAAATTCTCACCTGAAAGTTTATACTTAGACCCACTCAGGACGTTTATAGATATATAATACTTAGATAAAAAATAGTGCAATCAAAAATAAAATATCAAATATTTTAAATTTTACAACAAAAATTCATATTCTATTGTATCATTTATTGAAATAAAATTAAAAATAAAAATTCAATTTTTTTCTTAAAAAATCGTAATTAGTATACAATTATATTATCTATTGGAATTTAATTTGATTGTTTAAATGACCAAATTAAAATATCAAACTACCCCAATTAAAATTAAAAGATATTGTATCAATTATAGTTTGAGCGCTTGTTTAATTTTTTAGTTTTATTCTAACTATGATTTTTTTAAAAAAAATAGACTTTTATTTTTGATTTTATTTCAATAAATGACATAATAAAACATGAATTTTGGATATAAAATACATGTTCTATTATGAATGACTTAGACCCTTTATTTGATTTTTTTTGTTTTATTCGAATAGATAATATAATTGTATACTAATTACAATTTTTTATTTTTAATTTCATTTCAATAAATGATATAATAGAACATAAATTTTCATTGTAAAATTTAAAATATTTAATATTCTATATTTGATTGGAGTATTTTTTGTCTAAGTATAATATTTTAAACTTAAAGTGTTTAAGTATTATATATTTATAAACTTCAGGGAATCTTAGTGTAGCTAATTAACGGATATATTTACAACAAGGGTCTAAGTGTTACGCACGTATAGACTTTAGGAGGTCTGTATGTAATATTTCAAATGTCAGGGAGACTGAGTGATTAAGTGACAAACCTTAAGGGGTTTAGGTGTAATTCTCCTTTTTTTTTAATTGACAAAAATTTATCCATTCAAAATTGAGAGAAAAAATAGGTGAAAAATTAAAAATGCGTGTTGAAATATATGTTATTTACCTTTATACCTTCTAATATATGTATATATCATATTTATCAATTACATATTATGTGCATATTAATTTTATATATAAATATAATGATAAAATAAGCATCTATAACTTCTATCCTTCAATTTTTTTATAATACCAAATCCAAAAAAATCAATTCGCCATAATTTTTATCCTTTCTATCAAACCTAAAAGAGGAAAAAAAATGATTCTTCCATTGAAGAATCGGAAGTGTATTATTCTCACTTTTTAACCTTTATTTTTCTAACCACCGTACCAAATACACCATAAGTCTCAAACTGGGACCCACTTTATCCGACCAAAGCCGAATATTCTTTTATTTTTTAGGTCTACACACACTCCCACTGTGCTGGTTTTATTTTATGTTGTGTCCTAATTTTTATTTTGTTGTTGTTTTCTTTAATTGTAATTTAGTTAGGACTTAAACTATTAAATTAATACTCTTTGAAGTTATGTTTTATATGTGTTGTGGAAGATTTAATAATTTCACATACATAATGGAAAAAATATTTTTGTAACTAGAATATTAGATCTACATTAAATAGAATTTTTTTTTTGTATTTTTTATAATTTTTTGAAACTATAAATTAGCTGTATTTATATTCACATTAATATGATATTTGTATTTAGGAGTTTTGGGATCTAATGTATATATCATATTTACAATTTATACATACATATTTTTTTTTGTTGTTTTTTTAATTTTAAACCACGTACTAATAATTATTGCATGGCTCAAGTTAGTCTTAAATGCTTATATTAAACATAGATGATAATAAATATCCTCGGTAGAACCCTTACAATCATATTTTACTATGTCTAATCTATTGAGTAATGCATTTTGTTGAGATAATACATGAATATTAATTTTTTAGAATATTTTTTTAAAAAATATTGGGCCTTCTATTTAACGTTTCGAGTGAATCAGCCGATCTTACGCTACGACGATATGACTAATATGTCTTTGTGCCTTCCAAATTAATGATGAATAACACGACTTTAAATTATACGACACGTAGATCGTTGCAACCAACTCTTACATAAATTAAAAGCACGTAACTTTATGTTAGACTTCAAGGTACCTTCTAACATTGCCCACCCTCAGCATTAAAAAACATTGATTGAAAAATCTTCTGTATTTCTTCCCGTGTGTGTCAGTGGTTCAAAACTTGTGTATTTAGTCGCTGTTGGTCATTTTTGGAATTATAGTTCTTGGCTGATGCCAAAGACTTCAATGCATCATTATCAGAACTACCCTCCTGATTACATTGGCCGCTATGAGGCTTCAACAAAGGAGGATAATAAGTTTTTGTTTCTAGATCATCATCTTAAATGTGAAGAATTATTCAACTTGGAGTTTAATTTGATCATCATCAGCAACTAAAAAAAAAAAAGGAAAAATTACATTTGGACCCCATCAGCTATTACATTTCTCTTTCGACTATTATGTTTCTCACATTGTATCTTCAACTATGTTATTAGTTTTATATAAAACAGAACAGATTTCAATAAGCTCATTCGACAATTTTAAATAGACTCATCTAACGGCCACCAACATTCCACTTAAAACCATTCACATTGCATCGTGGCCTTAGGCACGGATTACGACTTGTTAGTTTTACATTACACAAATTATTAACGCCTTTTACGAATTTGACAATAAAAAAATTATGTTACTTTCATATTTTGTCCTTCGAACTTTATGTTTTGTTTCACTTTGCTCTAGACACATGGGTAGTTTTCATCTAAAATATAATGGACATTTTCATTTAAAACAATGTGAAATCAATTAAATAGTTGAGAGGATAATGTGAAAAATATAACCATTAAAGGGACAAACTGATATTGAGTCCATAGTTGTTGCTCATGAAAATTAGATAAAAGTTTTTGACAAAAAAAATATTATTAATCAACATGCCTTTAGTCTAATGGTACTCATTGACTTATGAAAATTTTACCTTGTTGAGGTCAAGGGTTTAAGCCCCTTCTCTCCTCCCTCTCCCCCACAAAAAAAATATAAAAAATAAAAATGTTATTAATATTTGAAATTTTTTAGCACAATAAGACAACAACTCTTGCAATATAAAATATATGGTAAATGATAAAACAGCGTTTGAAGAAAGTGTTTAATAAGTATTTGTTCAAATATACTAGATGAGAACAAGGAAAGAAAGTATGTTTCAACAGACCCACCTATGCAATACTAATTCTTTTAATTCCAGGGTAAATTACTAATAAGTATTATTTTTCCCTGTAAAAACATAGTTAAGCCCTAATTCCATTATAGGCATAAAACTTGAAAACCTATCATTTGAGCATGTTCAAATCTAAAAATAATGTAATTAACCAATGTATAATAATTATGTATATTTCATGGCTAATCAGTAGTCCCTTGAACCCTTTTTAATTAGCGAAAAAATAAAAAAAAATATTTACCAAACTATTGTTATTTTTATGAAAGTATGGTACAAAAACACACTCCCAAGTTGTTACCGAAAGGGTGTTTCCAAAACATTTTGAAGGTGTGCTTCCGTTTATAATACTAAATCGTGTTTTTGAACTACGATTTTCACTAGAAGCCAATAATAAGAACTCCTTGGCAAAGGCACTAAGACCTAGAATGGAAGGGCATGGACACCTACATTCACTCACACGTACGATTGACCATTTCAAATCTCTATTTTTTTAAAATTATTCTAGAGGAGGAAATTGGTGAAGTTTGAACCCGTGGTCAAATAATCCAACAACTGACTGCAGAGCTATTAGGCCATTGTTGATCTTCAAACTCAAAAGCCCCATTAGGATGAAAAATTTTGGACAAAATGAGACCTTAATGTGTGACCCGTTATGCAATCATGTAAGTCACATGCCGAGGTACAACGCCAAGCTTTTTCAATTTCAAGTGCTTTTTGGAGTATAATTATGTGTGCCCCATCCCCACCATGTGACATAACAGGTCTCTTATCCATGGGGCCCATGGCTGCTCACCAACCAAAGGAATGTTTTACCCTAAATTATTTGTTTAAAAACTTATTTTCAAGTTTACTTTCTTTTTCCAAACATATTGCAGAAATAATAATCATTCATTCAATTTTATATTATCTCAAAATCTCAATTGATGCTACACACTAGGAATTCAACACTATAGTTAAATTGAGTAATCGAGCCATGTTTTCTATATCCAAAAAGGCTTCTTAATCAAATTCTCTTAGTTTGTGATTAAAACGCAAACAAGTTGCTCTTAAAGCATGCGCGTCTGATCAATTGAATCTCAAACTTAAAAACTCGAGGTAACATACCGATGAGATCTTCCCATTTGAACCATAGGTAGGTTACTTGCAATATCAATCCAATTCAAGGCATTAACACACACATTTGCAAGTTGGAAACATTGACATACTACTTTTCTTTCATTCAATGGATAGGAACAATTGGAATCTAGTACAATGATAGATAGGGTGACCTTTGCCCACCACTACATTCTCTCTTTTACATTCTGCAATGAAATCAAGGGTGGGCTGAAAAGTATGCCAGAAGGCCCACCAACGGTGCATTTATATATGTTGTGGGCTCTGACTCCTGAAAGAAGGGCCTTGAGTCAGGGAAGGCATCAGTACTGTTGGGCCCACCAACAACAGCTCCAACCAACAGATTGGGGTTTGGATTTGGACTTAGATAGTAACGAGAGCCTGCTTTACAGCCTATGTGGGCCGGGTGGGCCACCACGGAGGGAAGAGAACTGGCCCTGTGGTGAATCCTCCGCGGATAACGATCACCATACCCCACCATGTACGACATTTTAAGTGGATTATCCCCAAGAATGTAGTCCACCTGGTAGGCCCAACAAAAAACACATCAAATTACTCTGTATGTTAGTAGATACATGAGCAACAAATCTATTTTACTGTTTCGCTTGTTACTAAATTCGAGTTTCGACAACAATCTATAATATTGTCGATAACGTATTCAAATCTATTCTCTTACTTTCGTTACTTTCTATTTGCGTATTCACGTTCAGGAATTAGCCTCTCCAAAATGACAATAAGAGTTACTAAATGAAATCTTATGCACGGAGTACGATCTTTTATTTTCAGTCTCCGAGACGTGTGTATAGTTACATCTCTTGATTGATAGATGATCTTCCCAACCTTTTCTTATATTACGAAATTTGAATCTACCCGTATGTTATGCCTGGACCATAACACCATGGACCATTTCAAACCTTATGGTAACAACCACATATCATAAACAAAACAACAAGTTATACGCCCTTATGTTTGTCTGATTTTGGGGATGGTTCCCAAATCTGATAGTGATGTGGATGGAATATACAGACTGTATTAAAAACTCTATGCCCTCCTCCTCCATCAAATACTTTTTATATGTATTTAACCCTCACGTTTTGGGTTTGACCTTCAGTCTCCTTTATTATTTGAAAAAAAAAAAAAAAAGTAAAGTTTTGGGGATACCTGATGCTTGGCCAATCGTTTGAGGAGAGCAGGGGAGGCCGAGGTCTCGCCACAAGGCACGGCATGATTGGCATGGCTTAGATAATTAGAGTATGCCAGAAGCAGAAAAGATAGGGATGTTACATGCTGCATGTTACTTCCTCCAGCCTTGAAGATCAATCCACCTTTTGCAAATAGGAAAAGAAAATTATTGGAAACTTTATTCAAGAAAATAGCTAAGATTTAGCACTCTCTTTCCCTAATAGCTAGACATCTTTTTTTCTTTCTGCACAAAAGAGAGAGTTAAGTGGACAATAATGTGAACCCTCTAAGAGTTAGATGCTTTTTGAGTTACGTACAGTTTCGACTTGTGACGAACTGCGTGAGTATCGTATATTTGTAACGTGCATATCTTTTTTTGAAAAAAAAACACTTGACTTGTCGTGACCTGTGTGACTATCCTGTATTCATACCACACATATCTTGTTCCAAAAAAACAGTAATGCGAGAACACCATCACGAGAAAATTATCAGAATACCCGAAAGGGAGGGGGGAAAGGAAATTATGAGCATACCCGGAGAATATTGAACTTGAGGATGAGAAATTCCAGGCAACAAAGAGCAGATGAAACCATCTGCATTGATCTGAAAGGATTTTAGATCATCTGCTTTTCCCATCAACACTTCCTGTCAAAAATTTCACAGAAATAATAAATATTTTGATTGCAAAAATAAATAGATGTTTCGTTAATAGAATCTATAAATGCAACTCCTTGGAGAGATGTGATTAAAAAGGTGAAAAAGCAATGAGAGAAGTCGCAATCAATTTCTGAGCAAAAGTAAATGAACAGAACAAGTGAAATAATAGCCGAGTATGGGAAAGAACTGTCTGTCGTTCTGCACCTTTTTGCACATGCAGGTAACAGAAAACTCACTGATCCTGGACCCACATAACCACAGTACCCAAAACATACGCTGCTTCATAACTCCACCTGATCTAGGTCACTCTGCTAGAAAGGACAACTACCCTATAAATTAAGGACCTTTTTTTTCCCACTAGAAATGGGTACGTACCCTGATAGGTGTTTGTCAGCAAAAATCAACTCACATGAGACCCACAACCTAAACTACTAACTTGGTTGGAACTTATCCATTATTCCAATACAAAATTGATATAAAAATATCCTGGTCATAACGTGTAAAGTTGATAGACTCGTGAATCTTGATAAATATACAAAATAAACCAATAATGCAATGAATCTAGCATCATACTAACGCGACTACATGACTATAATTGGATAGAATATGGGTAAACAAATTTTAAAAATTAAATGACTAAAACACAAGACCTACCCTTGAGTGTAACAGTTATATCACGTCACCATTATATCTTAGTATAATGGCTTAATGTCCAATATACAAGTAGATAAGGCGACTCTATTGTTTTTTACATGGATGATTAATATATTACATGGAAGGAATAGTTAATTGAATGAGAGATGTCTACTTTTCTTATTTAGACGACTACGTAACAATATTGACATGATATAATGTTTATATCAAATATTTGCTCCCCTTCAATCCTACCCTTTAAACTTTTATCCTCGCAATTATTTTAACCAATGAGAACCCAATTCGTACTAGGACCCTCAATGGATTTCCATTAAACAACCAAGATCTTCTCATTCTACACCATGTGATTGACAGGTATTTTATTAATAACTCCCAAAGTTCCTGAGTGAGAACAAAATACACAAGACAATAAGAATACTAAAATTAAAGAGGGCATAAGTAGAGATACAGATTTGAAAAGGTACAGCAGCGGGTACAAGTAGAATTAATTAGGAAATGTTTCAATATTCCGGGGTTTCATTAATTCCGGAATAAGTGGAGACTAACCTTGGAAATGAGTATATTAATCCCAGCATGCTTGTTATCCCAACCAAATTCATTAATAGTGTCCCCTGCTCTCAAAACCACCTCGTTTCTCACTATATATTCTCTGTATTCGCGCCTTCTCGTTGCCTTATGCAACCATGCAGCTCCCCACAGCAACTCATCCTACAGTATTAGTATATAACAACCACCCACCTGATCAGCAGAATCAACGGCTATGCATGTCCAGTAATGTTTTATAGGAATTATGAAACAACTCCTTCAAAAAAAATTATTTATTTTCTGTACTTTTTTACTACCTGGTAACCATTGACGTCACAGTAGAAAGGGCAAACGGCAGAGTGCAGGCTACTGCTGTATGCACCCCGGTGGTTGTCAGCAAACTCGAAGACCTACAAAAAAAACCCAATTTTCAGTCATTCAATTTCTCATTGAAAATATTAAAAAGAATAAATTAGGTTTTATACATGCCACGTGGAAGAGCATGTCTTGCAATAAAAATAAATTAATATAATAAAATGAGTTTCCACGTGTCATACTTTGATTAAAAAAAATACATAATACTAAAAAATAGCTTTGAAGTACCATGATTCAACACATAAAATAAAACAATAATACCGTTAGGATAGTGGTATTTAATAAGGATTAATGACCAAGTCATTATTAAAACTAACTTAGGTCAAGGTAGACTTTCTAACAGAAAGTCACTGAGATGTATATTATTCTAAATGAAGTAAAGATTAGATTCTATGGTACAAAAAAAAGTTTATAAAAGAAAATATGGGGGAAAATACAAAAATGAAAATCATATAGATGTTAATTCGAATGAAAATATCATAAGAGTTACTACATTAAGGTCGCGAGTCTTGAAACGCTCTCAACAAAGATTGAAAAGCCATGCGTGGTTCATCGAGCATGTATATTTCAAATTTACGTAATTTACGGAATATGTACATCTCAAGTTTATGTTATAACTACGGGTGCAAATATTGTGATTAGATAATTCTAGAATATTAAAAAATTTTGAGCAATTATAAATAATTTCAGTCATATAGTCGCAAGTAAGAAAATGAATGGGCAAACAATGTAATTGCAACTACGTTAGTTCCTTAGAATAAAAATTAAAAAAAAAAATAAAAAGGCTAGCATGAGAGAGAAAAGGGATTGGGAATTGGTAGAGAGGACAGCTTACTTTAACGGCACGATCGAGGAGAAGGCTTGAGTAAGCAGGGTCACGTGACCTAAACACAATGGACGCGGCGGCCAAAGCAGCGGCGGTCTCGCCGGCGACGTCTGATCCCGGCCGATCGCGATCAATCTTGTAGGCCGTCCTCAGAGTATCCATGTCCTCTGGTCTCTCCCAACAGTTATGGTCCGAATAAGGATCACCCACCTGAACGAAAACCACGCCGTCTACTGCCGTAGCCTTCAGTAGATAGTCCGTCGCCCACTTCACCGCTCTCAGGGCGTTCCCTAGCTCAGAGCCCATGTTCCTACCAAAGTCTATAATGCTCCATGAGAGCAATGTGGCCGTGAAAGCCATTGGAAAACCAAATTTTATGTTGTCTCCGGCGTCGTAGTAGCCTCCGGTTAAGTCCACCTGAGAAACACAAACACAGAAAAAAGGGCATTACTCACTATCCAAAGAATGTGAGTGTAAAAGAAGGAACTAAAGAAAGAAAGAGAAAAGGGTGTTTGGTGGTGTACTCCGGCAGTGGCTCCGTCGTGCAATGCAGAGTCTCTGCGCCATCTTACACGTTGGTCCGGTGGGAGTTTGCCGGAACGTTGGCCTTCGAAGAAGAGAATGCTTTTTCTCAGGGCGTCGTGGTAGTCATGGCCGACGGCGAAAGGGGTAGAGTGGAGAAGCAGGGAAATGATCGAGAAAGTGAGAGAAAGTGACGGAACATTGCAAGATTTTCGCGCCATTTGCGTTGCTGAAGAGACGAGTGAGGAATGGAGCTAACGGTAGCATTGATTTTATAAGGGAAAGATTGCCATTGGATTCTTGAGAAGAACCAATAATAGGTGGACACGTGGAGAGCTGTGTATGGGGAAGTTGAGAAACCGATGAGGTGGTGATTGACCGGTTCGGCGGAGGTTTGACCTGTTGGTTTGGACCGGGTTTTCGGTGTTACTAGCGGCTGTTGGTGGGTGGTGTTAATGCGTGGCGGTGGGTGACTGTGAGAACTGTGATGGTTTCACCGCCATTTGATGGAGAACATGTGGAGGGTCTGAAAAGCACCGAAACCTGGGGCCCACCTTTGCAGTGAGTAAGAGCTACGGATTGGGGTCTACCACCGTGTACGTGAAGGTGAATGACAAGTTTGACTGAATGATTAACAAGGTTTGGGTATGTTAGAGTTTGGATTCACTGCATATTCTGTTAGGTTTATTACATGAGTGCCTCAGTCCCAGTAAGGGATCCAAATGTATTTTTCCGGTATTAAATCTTTACTTTCTAGTTATCAAAAATAAAATTCATATTTTTCAACTAAAGTCAGTTGTTGAAAATTAAAAATCTATTATAGACCAATTACAAGTCATTTTATAATTAAATTTAGATTAAAAACAACAAAAATTATTAATTAATACCCAAAAAATATATCAATTTAAAAAAAAAACTCTACCACAATAAAATACACTAAACATGAAAGTAAAGACCGGTTGTAAAGTCGCCAAGCAAGAATCCTAAGTAAAAAGATGTTGAAAATTAACAAAAGAAATATGGACAACATTGTTATTATCTCATGAGATTTTATATAAAAGACCAGAAATAGTTTGCATGAGGTTTATACAATCACTATTGTATATTTTTATCTCCCTAGCTTTCTTAGCATCTTTTTTATTTTTATTTTATGCGAGTAATCTAATAAGATTATTGTGTTTATATTTGAATTTTTTCAAGTTCAAATGGATTTTTTTACTTTATTTTATAATCATGTTTCTTATAAAGTTATAAAACAATTCTATATTTTTATCACATATTAATCCTATTTTTGATCCAATATTTACAGAAGATTGTAATTTTTTCTAAAAAAAATTACAAAATGAGTTTCAATATGTTCAAAATATATCCAATATCATGTGTAAACTTATACAAAAATATTATGATGGACACAATAAAATTATTTTAAATTTTTTTTAACAAAATGATATATGTATATACTTAGAAAAAAAAATTACAAAATGTGAGGGTGGGCCTAGGCCCCAGGCCCCCGCCAGTGCTTGTATGACAACGATCTGGATACCCAAGCCACATCCTTATTAGTTAGACAATGAAACTAGTTTCAGATATGATTCATCATTTTCATGCAGTGGTATCTTCGATTTATTATAGTGGCCTGAAAGTGGTCCTAAACCTCATCGTTTTCCTTCTTAATGGTTTTTGTTTATAGATATTTGGATTTCTTAGAGTATCTAATTCAATCTCTACAAGTGACCCCAAAAAAAAATCTCCTACTCAAAACTTTTGAGTTTGTAAACTTGTCTCTTGATTTGTTTATCGGAGTGAATTTGATATGCAGAGTAATCTTATACAACTAGAATTTTCAAACAAAATAGAAATTTTCTATGTAAAATGATGAGGCTTATCAGTTTTATTAGGGATAAATCGTGTCTAAAAGTACGGTGCAATGTGAATGATTTTCAGAGGGATATTAGTGATCATTGAATGAGTCTATTTGAAACCAACTTATTAAAACCTACCCTATTTTATATTATAGATTTCATTCTAAAATAAACCATCACCAAGATGGTGAGATTTAAGAAAATATGATTGTCTTATTTAAGCTTATGTCTCCTATTTAAACTTTACTGTGAGGTTAGGAGGGAGAAAAGAGAGAGTGAGATAAGATTAAATTAGTACGAGAATACGCAAAACCCAGGTTTGGATAGTTTTTCACGGGTTGGGATTAGCCTAATCCTGACAAAGATGAGTATCAATAACACCTTTCCCTATATGGGGGTAATTCCATTCCATTGGAAAAGGTGAGATGAAATTCTTGTGATTTGTGGACCCTATTAAATTACTTTTTCAAAAAGACAAATTAGGTGTCCAAAAAAACATTTGAAATGATTTAAGTTGTTGTAGATTCTTCACAAGTTGTTGTAGATTCTTCAACTCCAATCGTAACATACCCCAATACCATTAAAAAAAAAAAAAAAAAAACATTTTTCACTGGATTAGCTCTAGTCTTTTTAAATACGGTAATTTATTGGGATTAAATATACTATTCAAAATTCAAAACACATGATAAGACCTTAACTTTGGCTCCAAATAAAGTGCGGTAAATTTCTGATGCAAGGCCATTTTTTCATGAGTTGGGATTAGCAAAATCCTGGCAAAGATGAACAGTATCAATAACTTTCTCTTTATGGGGGTAATTCCATTCCATTCGAAAAGGTGAAATAAAATTCTTGTGATATGTGGACCTATTAAATTACTTTTTAAAAAAAATTCTATTAAACTGACGACAGTTTCATCGGAGTTAATCCTACTTTTCAACGCCCAAAAATTGCAGTGGAACCTTAATTTCGGCCCTGACGTAGATGTTGCAATTTTTCATTCAAATAACTGTGTGGTGTTAAGAGACAATGTTCCATAACAGATATGTGAAGGGGTTTATTTGTATATCTAATTAACGTACCAAAAAATCAATACAAAAAACAAAAGATAAAGAGCAATGACAATGTGAGTACTTTCTTCGCTTTTCTGTCCTCTTTGTTTTTTTATCCAAAACTCTTTTGTATGCAAAATTTGACTTGCCAAAGTGTTATTTTGGCCTCTTTTCCAGACAAATTATCCCTTGAATTTCGTCTAAAGTTTTCTAGTGACAAATGTCCTTCTAATCATCGATCCTAATTTCGAGACATAATAGTATAAGATTTTTTATCAACTATTTTCACATTATAAGAGACACATTTGGGCTATTCAAATTTCCACAAATTTCAAATCAACATGGATTAGACGTTTCAAACTTCGATTCCTGTGTTAGACATTTCTTTCTTTGCTCATAATTTAACTTGATTTGTGATAGTACCCATGTTTGAGTGTAATTTAGTTACCTAATGCATTATGATCATTAAACTTTATCAATCATTAAATTATTAATGAATCTCATTTAATACTAAGACCTATTACTAATTCAATTGCAACCGAACATTAGATTCCTAAAATAGACTGTCATACCATGTTGTTTTGCCAATGCAAGGTGTTAAAAATAATGAGAGTAATTAGAAAAGTTGAAAGTTATACTAAGAGTCGGTGGACTTGGATATAGATATAATTTTTGGCATTATATGGGCAAAATTGATTGGTATGATTGTTAAAGTAATTTTGCAATCTCACACTTCACATGTAGTGTCTTGCATCTATATACATCTACATCATATTAAACGAGATTCGAATGTTACGTATCAGAGATTTGGAGGTGAGAACCTGATTATATCGGCTAACCAATTATGATTGTGTAAATTTACTCATAAATTTTCCTTGGAGTTATTATTTTTAACATAGTACTATGCTTCTAAAAAAAATCGATATTATGGCAGAAAATAATTTTGGCATTTGATTTTGATTTGTGCTATTTATATTATAAATAATAAAAAAAAATTATGTACATCATTTAATTTATAAAAATTTATATGCATCATTTAATTATTAAATAAAAAAAGAAAGTATATTAATAAAAATTAAGAAAGTATATTAATAAAAAAGTATATTAATTATAAACCAATTACCAATAATTTTATAATTAAATTTAGAGTAGAAACAACGAAAATTATTAATTTATACCCAAAAAATATATCAATTATAACAAAAAAAACTCTACCATAATAAAATACACTAAACATGAAAGTAAAGACCGGTTGTAAAGTCGCCAAGCAAGAATCCTAAGTAAAAAGATGCTAAAAATTAACAAAAGAAATATGGAAAACGTCGTTATTGTCTCATGGGATTTCATATAAAAGGCCAAAAATAGCTTGCGTGAGGCTTATACAATCACCAATTGCATATTTTAATCACTCTAGCTTTCTTAGCTTTTTTTATTTTATTTTATGCGAGTAATGTCATAAGAGTATGATGTTTATATTTGAATTTTTTCAAGTTCAAATGGATTTTTTTACTTTATTTTATAAACATGTTTCTTATATACTTATAAAATAATTCTATATTTTATAACATATTAATCCTATTTTTAATCCAATATTTAAAGATGATTGTAATTTTTTTTTAAAAAAATTACAAAATTTCAATATGTTCAAAATATATCCAATATTAAGTGTTAACTTATACAAAAATATTATGGTGGACACAATAAAATTATTTTAAATTTTTTTTAACAAAATGATATATGTATATACTTAGAAAAAAAATTACAAAATGTGAGGGTGGGCCTACTTTCACATATGATTCATTTTCATGCAGTGGTATCTTCAATTTACTATAGTGGCCTGAAAGTGTTCCTAAACCTCATCTTTTTCCTTCTTAATGGTTTTTGTTTATAGATATTTGGATTTCTTAGAGTATCTAATTCAATATCTTTGAGTTTAAATCTTTAAGTGACCCTCACACTATTAGGGTGCGTGGTTGTAGTTTGATCAAAAAAAAAAATTGCACTCCTGGTGGGTGTTTAATGGGGTGTCTTGTGGTGGGCTCGGCAGCCTTCCTCTTTCAGACAAGTGTACCTGGGGCCATGCCTGGGAGGGGAGGGGCTGGGACTATCCCATATCGGATAGTTTTCGATGTGTGCGTGAGTTTATATGTCTTCTATGAACCTCACATCGTTAGTGTGAGTGGTTGTAGTTTGATAAAAAAAAAAAAGTGTAAATCTCTACAAGTGACCCAGAAAAAAAAAAAAAAAAAAAACTCCAACTCAAACTTTCAAGTTTGTAAAATTGTCTTGTGATTTTGTTTATGTGAGTGAATTCGATATGC